AATATGAGAAATTGTTTTGTCCTATCCAGACACCTTACACTGAGACTTTTTAGTGTAGGAGTTAGCAGGACAAGAAAACATGAGAACCTTTATGATAAAACTAACCCTGGTAGAACACACACTGGAAGTGTCTGGGCACATGGTCATTCATCTAGGAAAAGCCGACTGTGAAAGGCTAGGGGTCACTCAGCAGAAGGTTTGCCCAGCCTGGACCCCTGGGCTTGATTCCAGTCCCACATAAAAACCAAGCACGGTGATGCTCTCCTGTAGTTTCAGCACTCAGAAGGCAGAGGCAGGAGTAACAGGTGGAGGTTAAGCTTGGCTACAAAGAGAGCTTGAAGCCAGTCTGGGACAGAGAAGACCTTTCAAAAAAGAAAGAAAGGAGGTTGTGGAGAGGGAGGAGAGAATCCCTAAACCACCTATGCGGTGCCCTCCCCTCTGCTTCTCACAGGCAAGCCCCCAGAAGAGCTGGGTCTCACTCCCACTGCCCACATTGTTGGGTCCTGTTAATCCCACAGATGCAAGGAGAAAGACCACTGACCTAAATCATCATGGCCAAATTAGTTAAATCAAGCTCCTTTTGTTCATGTACACAGCTGTCTCTCCTTAGAGGCCCGGTTCAAGAGATCGGTATTGGCCATGGGGAAGATAGGGTTTTTATAGTTCAGGAGGAGGGGTTTCCAAATGGGGCATTTGGCAGACAAATGGGCAAGGGTACAGAAGCAGAGCATAAGTGTAACAAGTTGGTCATGGCAACCTGAAACAGACGTGGTTGCAAGGTGATCATAACAAGGTGGTCACAATAACCTTTTGAAACCAAGTCATGGTTGCCGCTTCCTGGAACAGGCAGGACAGAACCATTTGCAGTTAAGGTTACAGGTGGGGCATAGCTCAATCCTTGAGAAACAGATTTATTCGTAAACAGGAATAAACCTAGTTTGTCTTTCAAACCTAAAATGGAAGCAGACTGGATCATCAGTCCACCATGTCCCTTACACTGAGCTTCACCACTAAAGGCACCGAGTGCCTCTACTCTCAGTCCCTTGTAGGGAGCACAAGGCCGGAGGTCAGCTAGAAGAGCACCACCCCCTTCTTTTCCTGGGGAAGATTATCATTTCTGGATGAAAGGATGCAGCACATGGAAGCAGAGCAGCCCCCTGGAACAGCACAGGGTGACAGTGACAATTAGCAGTGACAGTGTTGGTGACAATCAAGATACTGAACGTTCCTCTCCAAGGAGCACCTTCTTCTCCCTGTGATGCATACGCAGCAAGCCAGCCTGCTCCAGACCTACTAAGTTTAGGCAAAGCTGTGGGGCCATCCATCTCCTGCGTGTGAAGAGCTGCCTTGCACTTTTCTTCTCTTGAAGAAAGCAAGTGTGTAACAGCAGTGTGCTGGAAGTTGTACATATAAATTTGATTTATTGCCAACACCTTTAAAAGCTACTTATCAATGACTATCGTTAGAACCCAGATCCTCTGATGTAGTCTCTTTCTCTCATGGCTGCTATGAAGAGCTGATTAGTCATACCCAGTTTCAACCTATCTCCCATCACAGCACCCAAAAGAGCCAAGTTCCTTCTGCTGGAAACAGGCTCTTCCAGATAGCAAAGCCCTAAATGGAGAAGGGTTCCGGGCAGGATAAGTGGCCACAACACTTCACATATTGGCGAGACCGGTTGTTTTTTGTTTTGTTTTGTTTTGTTTTGTTTTGTTTTGTTTTCAGACACCCCTGAGTCAGCAATGTCTGTGGGACTCTTCAAGCACCTGCCTCAGCCTGAGCTATGGAAGGATATAGCATCTTAGTCTAGTTTAGCAATGTCAGCAGACCATCTCCTCGTGACATAGTACCTCACTACTCCTTTACAAGTGACTTGTCTTATTTAGGGTCACTATTGCTGTGATGAAACACCATGATCAAAAGCAACCAAAAATTCAAAAGAAAGGGTTTCTTTTGAATCACCGTTCACTGGGGGATGCCAAGTCAGGAACTCAAGCCAGGCAAGAACCTGGAGGCAGCAGCTGATGCAGAGGCCATGGAGGATGCAGCTACCGGCTTGTTCCCCATGGCTTGTTCCCCCTGGCTTGTTCAGCCTGCTTTCTTACAGACGTCAGGACCGCCAGCCCAGGGGAAGCCCCACCCACCATGGCCTAGGCCCTCCCACATTCATCACTAATTAAGAGAATGCTCTACAGGCTTGCTTACAGCCCGATCTTATGGAGGCATTTTCTCAACCGAGGTTCCCACCTTCAGGTGACTCTAGCTGGTGTCAAGCTGACATAAAACTAGCCAGCACAGAGCCTTAACAGAGCAAAGCTGCTCTCTGTACAGTGTGAGGATTTTACTTCAGACTCTGCCCATGCTGCCTGCTGGGGAGATAATGTCCTCACCTGAAGGAGGGCCCCTTGTCACCTCTCTCTCAAAACCTCTTCCTCCTCAACACCTAATGACTGTCCCAGTTCCTTCAATGTATTTCTTAATCTAATCAGTTACTCAATAAAGAACTATGAGTGCCCACTAATAATCATCCCACTGTGTGTCCTTGATGGCAGGTGCTGCCTCCTCAGAACGTTACATTACAGAAGGAACCGGCCATGAATAACAATGGATGGTTCATCGTGTCACGGGAATATAAATTAGGAAGTGGTGTAAAGAATGCTAGGGCCTCTAGGAACTCTTCTTGGGGAGTTGAGAGAGATTTCCTGGAAGGGGGCTGCTCAGTCTAAAGCCAGGAAGAGAGGGAGCAAAAAGAAACCCAGGGAGCAATAGGGACGGCCAGTGCACCCTGAGGCAGGGAAGGGCTTGACATAGGAAATGGTATAGCAGGGTCATACGGAGTTCTGTTTTTAGTGTTTTGGTTTTGCTTTTTAAGGAATGGCTGGTTTTCTACAGTGGCTGGAGAATTTGCATTCCCAATTTGCATTGTGAAGTGACCGTGGTCACTTGTCCAACCTGTAACCCTTCTCCATTAGGGCTTTGCTATCTGGAGGGGCCTGTTCCAGGGCAGAGAAGAACTTGGTTCTTTTTGAGTACTGTGAGGGGAGACAGGCTATAACTGGGTGCGGGTAGTCAGCTCTTCATGTGGTGTCGCCATCAAACCCAGGGAATCCCACTAAGCAAACATTCTACTGGGATACCGCCATATTTTTTGCAGTATATGAAGGTCCCCTTGTCCCCATATCTCTGACAGCATGTTTTTTTTTTCCTTCGTGATGGCCATTCTGACTGGAGTGACACGGAATTTCGGCATAGTTTGACATGCATCATGGACACCTGCACATTCATGTTTATTTCAGCACTCCCCACAATGGCCAAGCTATAGAATCAGCCTGGATGCCCACCAGGAGATAAGGAGATAAAGAAAACGGGATATTGATATATATGCACAGTGGAGTTCAGCCATGAAGAGTGAAGTTGTACTGTTTGCAACCAGAGGTCATTATAGGAAACAAAATAAGCCAGGCTCAGAAAGACAAATAGTGTATTTTCTCTCTTCTGTAGATCCTAGACTTTTAGAAATACATAAAATGTTATATGTATACATGAAACTTTTGTGTATGTACGTGTGTATAATACTATATGGAAGTAGAAGGGAGCCAAGGGACGGAAGGCGACCAGCAGGAGTGGAGGGGTGGTAAGGGGAAAAAGGAGGAGTAAGGGTGTGGTCAAATAGATGACATGCTTGAAACCCAACATTACACGTAATCTACATTCCAATAAATACTATATATGTATGTACAGTATGTGTGGATGTGTGTCAGGGGGAGAAGCCAAAAGAGGACGTCAAGTTTCCTGCTCTGTAACTCTCCATGTCCTGCTCCGTAACTCTCCATGTCCTGCTCCGTAACTCTCCATGCCCTGCTCCGTAACTCTCCATGCCCTGCTCTGTAACTCTCCATGTCCTGCTCTGTAACTCTCCATGTCCTGCTCCATAACTCTCCATGTCCTGCTCTGTAACTCTCCATGCCCTGCTCTGTAACTCTCCATGTCCTGCTCTGTAACTCTCCATGCCCTGCTCCGTAACTCTCCATGCCCTGCTCTGTAACTCTCCATGCCCTGCTCTGTAACTCTCCATGCCCTGCTCTGTAACTCTCCATGCCCTGCTCTGTAACTCTCCATGTCCTGCTCTGTAACTCTGCACCTTAGAGACAGGGTCTCTCTCTGAACTTGAAGCCAGGCTGGTGGCCATCCAAGCCCAGCCTCCTCCTATCTCCACTCCCCACACCACTGGGATTACAGGCTCCCCATGGCCACACCCAACCTTTTACTAAAGTCCTCATACTTGTACAGGAAGTGCTCTCACTCGCTGAGCCATCTCTTTAGACAAGAATTTTCAGGAGAAAGAAAGAAGTGAGCAGCGTGCCTGGGAGCATGAGAACAAGTAAGGAATTGCTGTGAGAAGACTGGGAGACCCTGACTCAGCAGGACCTTGGAGAGCTGGCAAAGAATTGGGAGTTCAACCTGACTGAACTCTCTACAGTCCTCATAACCCCTTCAGCAAGGAGACAGAGGCTGGCCAAGCAGGCTCTAAGCCCCTCAGGAATTCTCCCTGAAAGGTGGTTCCCGCTCACTGCATAGTCTTCTCAATGGTGAAGCACCTAGGATATCAATGATATCCTATGTGTGTCTGCACATATGTTTCCATGGAGGAAGTCGCCCCTCAGTGTCAGCACATCCCTTGGGTGTCTGAAGGACATAAAGAGGAAAAGGATAAAGCCCACAGCTCAGGTGTGCTCCCTGCCTCTATGTACCAGCTATCGCGATGGACTGAAACCTCCACAAACAGTGAACCAAATCCTTCGGCTTCTCTGGGGTCTTCTGTCACAATGATTAGTACCACGCCCATGAACCCCTTTTCTGCCCAAGCTGATCATTGTCACTGATGTGACTACCTGCTGTCAGAGAGGCATTGTTCTCCCTCCCACCCTCCACCCTGCCCCTCCCACCCA